TATGCATAAAGTACTGTATATTGATGCATATTACTTAAAATTCAAGATTACAAGTAATTATGCATAAGTACAACTTATTAAAGCTCGATGTTTGAATTTGTATAAATAACTGCGGATAAACATAATCAAATAGATGATGAACAATTGAACATCTCATTTTAAAATATAAAAAATCTAAAATATAATTAGAATAATTATCGAGTTCCAACAAAATAAATAATTATTTATTATCTTTATAAAAAATTATATTATTAAACCAAATATAAATTACTTCATTATTGTACATAAATTAAATTATAAAAAAATGGAATTAAAAAATTACACAAAAAATGAGGAATTTCAAATAGTTAATTTGATACTAATATCGATATATTTTTGTCAAATTTTTATRATATCTTCAAACATATATTTTATTCAAAAATAAAAACATCATTGTTTTCTCAAAATCACATAAAGTCATATTATAACATCGACTGAGATAAAGAATAAAATAAAATATTAAAATCACGATGTATCTCGCTGCATTGCACGAGTACGCTTCTGGTTTTTATATAATATATTTAATCAAGACATTAATCATATTTATAATATTTAACATTTAAATGAGTTGTACGTGGATACGTATATACATGAAAATAAATCCAGTAAAAAATTGGAAATAGGTATTGATATACATACAGAAAAAACTAAAAAAATACTTATTTTTTTATAATTTTTTTAATTAAAAAATTAATTATATTTAAAATAATTTAAATTTATGTGTTTATCTTATATTTGATTATGTTTATCAATTAGTTATAAAAACTTAAATACTTGAATTCAAATATGAAGTTTAATGTATAATCTTGAATTTTAAGTAACGTGTTTTGATCAACATACCAAATATATAAAAATGGTTTTTAAACCTTTACAAAGAACATTTTATAATATGGTAAATAATGTGATGTAACCAACAATATTATGTACTTGTAGATTCGGTCGACATCATGCATTAAAGAGCGAGAAGCGCCCCCAATAACTTCAAGCGAAATAAAGTAATAAAAAAACCATCCCTATAATGAGTTTCGTGTCAATAATCTTGCCCCTGGTGTCGAATGTGTTATCTTAATTATCGAATATTCCAGACCCGTCACTAGTTATCACGTCTAAATAATCGACATATGATGCATAACATGTGAGATTAAAATTGACCTATGCTAAGAAATTTCGGAGTTTTTTTACATAAACAGAAGAAATGTTTGTGCGTATAAAAACAATATACTTAGCGCAGATATTCAAGATCTGGTTTCTGAGTGTTGATCTTGATCACAACTTCTGATCATCTAAAATGTTATCGTCTTAAATTTCCACATTAAAAAGAAAATAAAGATCCAATTGACAATGATTTTTGTAGCTAATGCAACCGATAACTGTGGCCTCCCAAACTATGGCTATGGCTACTGCGAATTTTTCGTCTCTTGCACCTTTCTCCAATTCCAAACTCCCCTCCTTTCATGGCTACCTGAAACCCATTTCTAGTTCCAACAGCACCAATCTTTTTAGGGTTTCTATCGCTTCAATTGGTTACAGGAAACCCATTTCCACACAACTCCAAGGAAACAGACTTGTTTCATTTGGGGTTAAGTGTCAGGCTGCTGGAGATGATGGTTTCCTGGAACCTCCTAGGGTTTATCAAGGAGTTTACGGTCCCTGGTCTGTTGATTCCACGGACGTCCGTGAGGTATTAAAATACAACTTACTTTATCTTGTTTCTTTTTCTGTTGTATAGAAACCCTGTGACGATTCTCTTGGTGTTGCAGGTGATTTCATATAGGTCGGGATTAGTGACAGCTGCAACATCATTTGTTCTTGTCTCATCAACTGCTTTCTTGCCTGATGATTTCTTTCTGACTGAGTTCTTAGAGCAAAATATCGATATACTTTACACATTTGGAGCTACTGGACTAGGGTTGTCATTGGTTTTGATTCATATTTATGTAACAGAGATTAAACGCACCCTTCAGGCATTGTGGGTTCTTGGTGTTTTTGGGTCATTTGCAACCAAAATATGCCTGGCTCAACCAGCAGATGAGAGCTTGGTGCAATATGTTGTGGACCATCCAACAGCTATCTGGTTCATTGGTCCACTGTTTGCAGCCCTAACTGGGCTTGTATTCAAAGAAGGTAATGGTTGTTTTATGGTACCATTTGGGAAAATAATTGAGAGAGGTGTATAATTGCAGCAGATTGTTTGAATCTTTCTTGGTTAATGTTAAAACAGGACTCTGCTATGGCAAGTTGGAAGCTGGCATTCTCACATTTATCATCCCATCGCTTCTTCTCGGCCACCTGGTACATAAATTTTGATCATTTAGTGTGTTAACTACGATTTAGGAATGAAGATAATGCTTATATAACATAGATTTTTGGGAATATATGATCCTTTGATCTGCTAATATACCTGATTCTTTTTTCTAAATCAGAGTGGTTTAATGGATGATGGGGTAAAAGTGACTCTGCTTGGTGTATGGATGGCGCTATTCGTGATATTTGCAGCAAGAAAGTTCACTCAGCCTATTAAGGTAGATTCCACCATTTAAGATGGAATTTATAATTGAAACATACTTAACTTCTGATTAAAACAACTGATCCATCTGTCCAGGATGATATTGGAGACAAATCTGTGTTTATTTTTAAAGCTCTACCTGAAGAAGAAAAGGCAGCTTTGATACAGAAGCTTGAGCAGCAAAAGTTCTCAGAATCATGAATGGGACATTGGATGGTGGTTATGGCCCAAGGTACTGAAGTTGAACTGCAATTTGCAAGAGAACCATAAGTATATATCATTACGATCATTACAAATATTGTAATAATTGAACATAATGAGTTGCCTGTAGATATTTTTTAGCTATAGATTAATGTATTTGAGTTCAAACATTTGTAGTTTTGTACCATTCCAATGCCATCCCAATTCCCAATAGACAAGCAAGATAGTGGATGGTTTGAACCAATATGTAATCATAACTTTCATGATTGTTAGCAAAATGGCATTGCAAATGTGACCTAATACCATAGGCATCCAAAACATATCATAAGATCACAATCAGAGTCAAATATGGCATAAATTTCCAAAATTGCCACTATCTATCTGCAACACTTCAAAAAAGTGCAAAAAGAATTGGTAGTCATCGCCACCATCCTCTTGCTAAGTCTTCTTGCTTCTGGTCCTGGCTCCTGCACCTGTAGGTGACGAGCATTTCACATCACCATCTTTCTTCTGCTTTGAAGTCTTCTTGCCTTCCTTTCCCACTTCACCGACCTTTTTATCTTTACATTCACTCGGTTCAGTCTTCAGACTCGCAGCCTTGATGTCATTGCCGGTAGGATTAGCATCTTCATTCATCAAGATAGCAGTCTCCTCGTGTAGTTTCTTGTTAGGTGCGTTAACTGTAACACCCGCTTTCCTTTTCTTGTTTTTAAGAGGTTTGCCATTAGGGGAAGGTTTTGCAATGGCTTTGCTTTTATTAACAGCTTCATCATATATGACTTCGCCTACAGCAACTGCCTCCATAATCTCATCTTGGACCTCAGCTTTCGGCTTCTCAACTTTGCCATCAGCCTCAGAACTCAATTCTTTTACCTCAGCCACAGCCTCAGGCTCCTTGTCTTTCTCTTCCTCTATAGCATCACCACTGTTCTCTGTTTTCGACATTTCTTCTCCCAAAACTGCTGTTTCCTCCATTTCTTCTTCCGAAACTACATTTTCCTCCATTTCTTTGGTCTGCCTCTGAAGTGATTCAATCACACTCATCAATTCTCTATTCACCTGTCAAAAGAAGAAAATAACGCTTATTCAAGCCTTCTGAAATACACAAAAGAAATACCAGAGGCATAGAGAATGTCCCATCTTCATTCAGAACATATTGGTTTGCCTCATTCATCAAGGACTGCACACTCTGTTAAATATTTTGAACACAACCAGATAGTGATCCCTTCTACTTCTAGCACAGGCATAGATGCTTATATACCTGTGGATTCTGCAGGTATTCAGAAATGTCGTTTGAACACGATGGACATTTCATGATATTCTTCTGCGCCCTTAATGTACGTCTACCTTCACATGTCCTCTCCTTTATGAAAGTTTGGCCAGCAAAAGTATCTTGCAAACATGACTTGCAGAAATTGTGTGCACAGGGGGTAGTAAGAGGGAGATTCATCACTTTATGGCAGATAAGGCAACAGAACTCTGCAATAGAAAATACTTCATGAAATTAACATTTGACAAATTTCTGCCTGCATACACCTAATGTCATCTTTCAAGAAATTGATATATAGCACTCAAATTGATAAAGCACGGACCTTTCAGGAGTCGTTCACTCACAGACATCATTTGTGTCTTCCGGCGCACTTTCTTTATGTTTGTGCCAACCTCAACATCTCTACTCTCTGCATGTTTTCTACTTCCAGGTGGAGGGATTTTCCACAACCAACAAGCTTTCTCCTCCTGAACAGTAGATATGAATAATAAGATTGATGGTGTAATTGCTAAAACATGCCTAATAACAAGAAACATGTAGGAAACAGAGAGCCAAAAACAAAATTAATCCACTCCCAATATATAGTACACTAAAAGCACACTTCATACTAAAATAAAAAGTTGCATCATTTTACATCATAATCCCAAGAAGGAGAGCTCTTTCTCTCTGTTACATCAGTTGCATCCTTAAGCTCCTTAATGATGGGCAAAGGCCTTGGACGATCCCCAATTTCATCACTGCAGAATTGTGATCAAGATTAAATAACTCAAATCCAATCATCAGATATCAGATAAGAAAATACGACAATCATAATAACAATGACAAACCTTGTCCATGGAGCAGGATCATTATCACAACGAACAAATAGATACCGGCATACCTTGTATCCCTATAAGAATCTAAATGTTAGCCAGCTTTTTTGGCAAGAGTGATCAAGTATGCTACTAAAGTAGTTATATAAAATCAACCATAATGTAATATCCTACTTGAATTCCAGGTTTCCTCCAGCATTTCTCAATCCTGTAAATTCCATCATACCGCACTCCTTTCTCAGGTGCATAAGCAGAACGCTTTTCCTTGTGTGACCTGTCCATTTAATTGGAAATATGTTCAATACATTCATTTAATTGCCACACTAGAGCAAGACAAAGATGAATTATAACACAAACAGGAGAACTTATCCCAACTAATAAATGGTTCTTTGCCTTTCTAAATTTGGATATTATATTAGCATGTAGGCTATCTCTAACAAAGTTTGAAATGCTTCTAAGATTCTCCTAGTTCAAGCTAATGCAACAACAGAAAAGGGTGCAAATGCTGTAAATTAACCAACTACCAAGCATACTAAAATTATACTGCTTTTTAGGTTGAAAAATAAACCAGAATCGTAAAATAGAGAGCATCACCTTTACCCCAATGGTCCCACACTGCTTTACGATGCAACAAGCAACACAATAATGAACTGTTACTTACAAACATCAACGTAACATTCAGTTTATCAATAAGTGAAATAGGGTGATCTACATATCTAAACAATCCTCCTTATCCACTAGAAAAAAAAACTAGCAGCATCTGCTAATGTTCACTTGTATACTGCTCCCAATAGATTCAGGTGTGTCCAATTCACAAGGTATAGCATAAAATGAGCATATACATAAACCTGCTGACATTTGAATACCATAAAACTAGCTGTCATTCATGTTCTGTACCAACTGAATTACACAAAAAAATATGTCATCATTTGACAAAAATAGTTTACAATTTACACTAGTTAACACACAATCATATGGACCTTTTGTAAATTTTGGTATTTAGACAGATAAAAACTTCATAAATAGATTCAGAATAAGAACATACCTCACAACACGTACAGGGTAGCCTTTTTTGCAACTAACCCGCAAAGCTTCATTAGATTTATCAAACTTCTGATCAAATGATTGTGTCTTGTTTGTCCTTTTGTTTCCACTCAAGTCTCTTCCACCACTGTCAGTAACAAATAAACAGGGATGTAAAAAACATCATACTATCAAACATACAAGCTTCTCCGATGCAATGAAATTATGCTGCAAAAGCTGAAACTTCTGAAATTTGATATAGCTTATGAGCCCTTTGCCTAGCAAAGACACCATCTGAGTTTTAACAGATTCTGGAAGCTCTTGTAGAAACAAGTGGGAGAATACTTGTAATTGAAAATGTTCTGTTTTATTGTATCATTATCGGTCACAAAAACAACAATGGTAAGAAATAAGAAGTTGAAAAGTAAACAATTCTGGAATCAACATCACTTCAAATTTAACACTGAAGTTACAAGACAACAGTAAAGGTTGAGGTAAGAAGAAGGTGCTAAAGTTCTTTTAACAAAGATCTAATCAGCGTTGATCATCACATACCTCCCTGTGTATAAGAACCACTCTCCATGATCCTCATCATCCTCGTATCCTCCAGATAGTGCCACAGATTGTGCACCATAATCAGACTGACCACAGATCCCAGCAACATGAGGAAGATGTGCCCCCCACTGTCTACATTCCATACGATCCTCCCAAGTTTCCCCAACCAGAACTCCCATTCCTCTATCTGGATCATTCTCTGCAAGAATGGGTCCAAAATGGTCAGGCGGAACTGTGACAAATATCTTTCCACTGCATGCATTAGCCTTTCCAGGCTTCTTTGCCCGCTCCGTGGTATATGCTTTGTCTGGTCTGTTTTGGTTTAGAACAGAAAAGTAAGCTTTAGGAGGTCCTGAAGCAGCATTTGACCTGGTCATCTTCGCCATTCTAATTGCAATAACAAGGGATGAGTTGATTCGAGGCTGACTAGCCATTTTAGGAGGAATTGAAGTTCGACATATGGCACAGGTACGCTTCCCTTGGCCTACCCATTTCTCAAAGCACTTCAGGCAAAAGTTATGACCACAGGGTGTCTGAAACATGAACAGAAGGCCTTTAAGTTTAGCTTGTTAATAGACTCACGAAATTTTCCATAATGCAAGCATTAGAACTTCTTTTTATGATTATTGAGATGTGCATCAAATGGATTACTAAGCACATGTTAAGCATCATCACATGGGTTCAAAGTTATCTTGTGCTTCACAAATGACCTCCAGTAAAACCAGAACATCATATATTTACTCATTTTAATCATTAATAATGCAATAGATGAATATAAATCATTGTAAATGGCAACTTGTAAGCAATTTGGTCAGAATTGAGAACCATATAAACTACAGAAAAGTGTAGTTCATGGGTTGGTGATGTGACAAAATATGTATACTCTAGTCAACTTGAAGGCACAAGCAAACAACATGCCGATTTTGAAGTCCCTGTCAAACAATCTAAAAGGGTTCCAAATTCAACAAGTTAATACATCATTCGGGTTAACATTTATTAGAGTTTGTTTTGTTTCTTTAGATGAAGATCAACAGAGAACAAGGTATTTATTGATCATGGGATCTCACGCTGAGATATATAGAAATGCACTTTAAATATTAAGATGAGAGAAGGATGTTGCTGCTAAAAACAATACCGTGACGGGTCTCTCCGGGAGCTGCATGCAAAAGGAGCAGTTAAAGCTGCCACTGAGAAGCTTCAGGACGTCGTTACCACCGCCGCCGGCGATCTCTTTTTTGTCATCGGTTGGTTTATCATCATCACCAGATCCTCCTCCGCTCAAGAGTTGCTGGCGTCTCTTAGCCTTCTCTTTGTCTGAGAGTGAGGCATCAGTCTCAATGGCCCGGATAGCGGCAATCAGCGTAGCAGACGGTTCAGATCCAGATGTGACGGTGGACGGAGGCGGATGAGAGGAAAGGAGATTGGAACAGTCGGGACACTCCCATTGGGCAGCATCGGCTAGGGTTTGTGGACGAGCAGAAAGACAGTTAAGATGCCAAGGAGTGACGCAGGTCTTGCAGGTAAGCGTCTCTTCTACAGGTGGGTTGATTTTGCAGATCATGCAACTGCCATCTCCGTCACAAGGAAGGTCGCTATCATGCGCCATGGAAGGAATAAAGAGATGGAGATTGAAGAGTTACAGAGAGTAATACCCCGGTAGGTATTGCTTGATGATGATGACGAAGACGATGACGGAGATGGAGATTATACTATATTAATATACACACACAGCAACTTTTGGTGCCATGAACAGTGGATTTGAAAATTTAGGAATTGGGGGAATCCAAAATATTGAAAATCAATTGGATTTGAATTTTCCCTCTTCTTTGCGATTCCAAAAATGGGAAATATTTTATGGTTTCCCAAAATCATGGGTGGAAACCTTATTTTTTCAAAATTCAGAATTTTGACTACGTATACAAAAGGGTATCATGAAACTCCATGAACATGACATCATTTTCTCCATTTTAGTTTTTTCATATTAATTTTACATCAACAATACTACTGTTATATGATAAATATTGTTTTATGGAAGAAAAAACAATTAATTAATGCTAAAAATTAATTTTTTTTCTAATTTGTTTTATAAATTTATGTTCTAAATTTGTTTTTTTTCTAAATTTATGTCTTTTCTAATTTATGTTTTATAAATTTTATGGCAATTAACAATTTATAAATTAATTCAAATAATTATAAAATTGTTTTTTTTATTTTTATCGATTATAATGTTAATATTTTAATAAATTGATAATTTCTATATTTATTTTGTTTTAAATAAATATTTAAAGATACAAAGATGAAATAATTTAATGTAAAGAATCATTAAAATTAATTAGTTGATAAATCAACAAATAAAGTATAAAAAGTTTAAAAACATTACAACTCAAACAAGTTCACCTTTTAATTAATTGGTAGTAAGTGAAAGTACCTCAACGTTAGAATTTCGGTAAAGTTGAAAATTGTTTTTCCAAATAGCCATTAAGAAGTTAAAAATCGTAAATAGATAACGCAGGCCCGGCCCTGGGCACGTGCAGCCCGTGCAACCGCACAGGGCATCAAAGCCCAAAGGGGCATCAAATTTTTATATAATATTAGTTTCGAGTTTTGGGGTTTAATAATTTGATACTTGGTTTTTAATTATAAACAGACACCCAACTGATCAGACTTGTTAATAACAAACCCAATGACTTGAATCGGTTACAATGGGATAGATGGATCACAGTTCAGAAGACGATTGACTTTGACGATTTGAAATTGACGATTTTTATTGCTCTTTGAATGTTCTTTTTCGATTTTCGATTTTTGATTTTCGACGATGATGTTCCAGTTTTAGAGGAAGACGATTAATGGTGACGAGTCTAACGATGTCCATGGGACGATGGATCGATCTTGATGATTGGTCGATGCATTGCCGACTGCCCGTATATTTACTCGAATACATGAATGTCGATTAAACTCTCAAATCTCAATCCTTCAAATCTAGATACAGTCGAATGCATTTGTATTTCTTCAAATCTGGATTCTGGAAGTGGAACTGTGAAAGTCGATTGCATTGTTTCTAAAACCAATGTATGATTTTGTTTATAAATTATAACATAGTAACATTTAATTAATCAATTTTGACATTATGCATTCATTGTATTTCCAGTTAATACAATCTCTCTTATCATCTTATGATAATGGTAGCTGACTTGCTGAATGTTGAATATGAAAAAGTAATTGATATTTTTGCTTCAAGAAGTGCACGAAGACATCGTTTTAGTTGATATACTTATATTTGTAATTTGGGGTTTTGGTTTTTATGTTCCCCTTTGTATTTTTCATGCTAATTAATAAAATCCAGCGTAAGGTTGAGCTGCCTAGCTTGACTAGGTTCCAAACCCTTTAGTAAAATCGCATTTTTCATTGTTTCATTTGCTTAAAATATAGACATAGGGGCATTTTTTAGTATCTTTGCACGGGGCATCAAAAACCTCAGGAACGACATTGAGATAACGTTGAAGTGGCTTATTGTAAAAGAAAATACAAATACTTCTTCTCTTTTTATAGAAATAGTAAAATACATATCACGTGTTTTGATATTTATTTACCTGTTTATTTATTTAAGTTAAGTTTATAAATATAATTAAAATAATAATAATAATAAATGAAATACTAAAATTCTTAAGTGATTATTTTCATTATTTTATATAAAAAATATGTTTTTAATTATTATTTTTTATTGATTATTTTATTATAAAAATAGATATTTTAATATTAATACAAATTAAATTCATCACTTAACTAATATGAAGTTCATTAACATTTTTAAGAAGTTGATTTTTTTTCTTCCAATCACCTCTAAACTTATGTTTTCAAAATTTAATTTGTATATATTTTTATTACAATAATATTATTTTTTATAAATAAAATATAATACAATTTAAACTAATTTATATTTAAAGTACTAATAAAAAACGACGAGTTATTATTTAAATTTTTTAAGATTGCTGAAAAACTGATGAAATTATTATTTGCATATTCAAAAACTTGAATAAGAATTGATTAGTTATATTTTCAGTTTTAAAGTCGAAAAAGATGATAAATTATTTTTTAATTTTTTTAAATTGCAGGAACATTAATGATATATTGCATGAAAATATAGTTAAAATTAAGAATTAAGTCATTAACATATGAATTTTTAAAACTACAAAATAAATGATATATTGTTTTTATAAATAACAAGACGTATAGTCTTTCCAATTTATTGGTTTTAAATTTGATTAATATATAATAAAAATAAAAATTATAATTATTTTAAACTAATGATTATTATCTATACTATTTTATAAAGCATTTGGCTAAAACTCTTAAACTCGTTCATCCCTAAACGATTTTATCTCTATCCGATTTCATCCTATATCTGAATTTGTATAACTAACTGCAGATAAACACAATCAAATACAGGATAAACATCTCATTTTAAATATAAAAAATCTAAAATATAATTAGTATAATCATTGAATTCTAACAGAATACTTAATTATTATCTTTATAAAATTTATAATATTAAACCAAAAATAAATTGTTTTATTATTAA